GCTGGACGCACAACACACAGCTCACAGGACAGCTCACGAGGTGGCGCTGTATAGTGGGGTTCTCAGGGACCGACACGGGAGAAGAAGGTGGAGCACAGGGACGGGGACACAGAACTCACGAACTGATATCCCACCCCGCGCCGGGGGCGGTGGCGCGCGCGAGCGCCGGGGTATTTGGACCCGCAGTCTGGCAGGCGCCAGGCCACAGATCCGCCGGCAGAGCCTTCAAGCCGCATCCGCGATCCGCGCCGGCTCTCAGAAGAGATCCGGCGCGGTGCTGACCGCGTCCTCGCAGCGGACCACCGAGTTCACGATGATGTCCGAGGAGAAGCGGTGCAGCTGCGGCACGATGCGGTAGTCGCACAATGCCGCATTGCGGTTTGCGGCACTCCTGCTGCAACGCGCGCGCGGCGGTGAGGAGAGCGCGAGCCCTTGAGCTGCTGGAGTCAGTCCATCGCCCGCGCATGCGCGCTGGCCTTGAGGTGGTTCCACCAACAACTGGCCCAGGGGTTGTGACCCTGCGCAAAGCGCAGGAATTTGCCGAGCGCGCCCTTGGTCCTAGGGCCCCGCTCGGGGAGTTGAAGGCGGCCGCCGTGGTGCGCGTAAGGGTTCCGGAGAACCTCTTGGCACCACGCGAGTGGCGGCCGCCACTCCGACGCGCCGCGTAGCAGAGACCGGAGAGAGAGATTTTCATTGATCATTGTATGTGCTTTTAGCTTACTTACTGGGATCTCTCTCATTGTATGTGGTTCTTACGAACATACCCGAAGGTGGACTGCTGACAGGGTTTGCGATTTTCTCTCTCTTCTCTCTCTAAGTGTCTAGTCTCTAGACCAGCAGACGCAGCGCGCAGCGCCGTGGGAGATACGGGTATTTCTTCTTGAGCGCAGCTAACGAGTACCCGGGGGCTTCCCATACGCGAGAGGGGCAGGTTGAAGAAAGAAAGAAAGAAAACAGACAGCAAGGGAGGGATGGGAGGACGGCACGCCGCCACCAGACAGGGATTTTAAGATAACAAGGTACGTCATTTTCCCCGAATTCGAACGTTCGTCCTTTGACGATACCCGGACAACACACGACAACAACTGCTAAAAATCTCACACACACGAAAAAGAGAGCGTGAGAAGGCGCACAAAACTCGTGAAACGGCCCGCCCGGAACGCTCTGCGCCGGACTTCATCCGATGTGCCGGGATTGCCCGGAGCGCGGCACCGCCGCGCCTCTCGCCTTGGACCTCCCGCTCCCCACCCTATAGGTCTGGTCCATCCATCTTCACGCCGCAGCCCATCCCTGTGATCGCGAATCGTAAGGTCACTGGCTTTGCGTGGAACACGCAGGCGCGAGTGAGGAGGAGAGCAGCACGCTCAATCATCTCTCGCCCTCCGAGAGGCTCGCTGCCCGTCGCAGCCGACGCACCAGCACGCCGGCAGAGCCGGAGTCCGAGCTGGAGGTGCTCGACGCTGGGCTCTCTCTCTCCGAGAAGCGTGCCGCCCGCCGGGCCCGCCACTCGCACTCGCCCACCCCAACCAACCAGCCACTGGCTGACATCATCAACGAGCCGTGACGACCAACTAGGGATTGGGAGGGTGCTGGCATGCATGCATGTAGGTCGACGTGATGTAGGGGTTCGCGCGTCGTTGGGGGTACACACGAGAGTGCATGCGCACGCTCCTCTCGGGGAGCGAAGAGTCAGTGGGGCGAGGCCATACCTCACGTCACGTGGTCTTGCACGGTCTCGAGAGTCTCATGCTGTCGCGCTCTATCATGCGCGCGTTCCACTCTCTTGAGTCTGAGACCGACTGAGATCTGAGTGGTGAGAGATTGTGGCGAGAGAGTGGCTGAGCGGCAGCGCACAGCGCGCTCTGGCGAGTGGGGTTCGGAGCGCGGGGTTCGGAGCGCGGGCGGCGCGGGGCCGTCCCGTTTTGATCTCTCGGTGAGTGGGGGGCCGAGCCGCCTCGGGGTGGCGGGCGGGCGGGCGTTTTGAAAAACAGAAAACAAGAGGGGGCACGGGGGCCCAGGCCCCTCACTGGGAGTAGAAATACGCCCAAGGCGGGGGCCAAGGAGGCGGCGCGGGGAGCAGCATCAGAGGGTGAGAGCAGAAAAAAAGGATGGCGCTCTTAGGGTCGGCTTTGAACAAGGGTTTCCAGGTTTTAGATCAGTATTGGTGTCGGCACACATCCCCACATGAGGTCAGCGGCGCGCAGTGCCTCTCTCGCAGGCTGATTTTGGCTGTTTTCGAGCTTGTTTTTCGTGTTTTCACGAGACTGGCTCTACCTCTCTACTATAGAGCCTCTACCGCGGCTTTACACTTTTATGTTTAGGATTTAGCCTCTTAGACTTTTGACTACTTTAGGGGGCCCGAGCCGACCGCCAAACGGGACGGCCCGGGTTGCGTAATCCCGCTATAACTATAACCACACGAAACATCCACACGGAT